CAGTGTTGACTGTTTGATGAGTTTTGCACAATCGCAACGTTCTCCTGGTTGTAGGAAAGCAACCACTACAGCATGTCCTTATAACTGCTCCATAGTGGGACTCACAGTCTTTACAACCCACCTGCCTGCTCTAAAGTCACCTTAAAATGTTGCCCTCGCCTTATCTGAGTAATAAAGACATACACGTGCTCCTTCTCGATCACAAATCAGTGTCAGTCCAGCCTCTTGATTCATCGGTCTGCAATGATGGAATGAGTTGGTATGTTAGGTATCAGTCAAATGTTATCTACATTCAAAATTATCTTCAAGACTCAGCTGCACAACGTCCTGTTGTGACACCTCTAACACAGTTCCTGCACTTTGTGCTTCTACAGTGTCTTCTGCTTGAACTGCAAATGAAAATGATTTGAATAGATTCATCTCCTAATATGTATGCAAGGTTTGACTGTTGCTCCATACGTGTACAGTGGTGCTTGAATGTTTGTGAACCCTTTATAATTTTATATATTTCTGCATAAATTTGACCTAAAACATCATCAGATTTTCACACAAGTCCTAAAAGTAGATAAAGAGAACCCAGTTAAGCAAACGAGACAAAAATATTTTACTTGATCATTTGTTTATTGAGGAAAATGATCACACCAGATACTGAAAACAAAAGTTCACATACTTTTACCACTTACAAATATATAATATTGGATCACTTTCCTCAATAAATACATGAACAAGTATAATATTTTGGTCTCATTTGTTTAACTGGGTTCTCTTTATCTACTTTTAGGACTTGTGTGAAAATCTGATGCTGTTTTAGATCATATTTATGCAGAAATATAGAAAACTCCATAGGGTTCACAAACTTCCAAGCACCACTGTAGATAAAACAATAAAAGCCAGTGAATATATTTAAATATACTGCATAGTCACATGAAGATGACATGGTGAAAGGCAGACGATAGTTTTGTCATGAGAGAAAATAAAAGACTCATTAGGTTTAGATATTATATAGAATTAGAGCGATGGTCAGAGCTGAAGTTAGACTGTTTAGCATTTTTTTAGAACAGGGACGCAGAAAAATAGATCCAGTGTAGGAGTTAGCAAGTATAAAAACAGCCAAACAGCTCCAAAGTAAATATCAAATCTTAGCCTCTAGGTAACCTTTGACTCCATGAACCCCCTCACATTTTTCCTACGCACAACTCTCCTTAACTTTCTCTCACCGCTCCCCTGGCCAGAGACCTTTGCATGATTGAGTGGGCTGTAGCCACACAGTAGATCATTGTAATGTATTCAGCCAGAGGGGTTGGAGCGGTGATGCCTTAAAACAGCCTGGCTCCCTCCAACCGCAGAGGAAGAAGACAGATGAGGCAGCAATTCCAATTATTTTCTCTTTCTGTTGACCTCAATTCACTTTATCAATTCTCTTCATCACTTCACCAACAATGTGGAGCCGTGCACACTACATCGCTAAGAGGAATAGATGTACTGCTGTAAGATTTGTTTTTGACACTTTACGGATTGAAACGTATTGTGATGTGCTGGAGGAAAATGTATTACTTATTTGCCGTCAAAAATAAAGAAGGAAAATGCATTTTGAAATTATGGACATGGAAGCAGAACTATGCTGAAAGCAGGGGGTAATATACAACCATTCATAAACCCAAATATGCCGTGATTTTATCCTGTCCTATATGTAGCCGTGGACAAGGCTCACAATTAAGTTTCTTGTTTTACATGCTAGCAGGAAAATTTTAATCTTACATGAATATGATTGTAGGGGCCTCAGGGAAGGAAAAAATCAGAAATAAATAAATTGACAAAGTACAAGGACAGTGCTGTGGTGGTGGTGGTGGTGGTGGTGGTGGTGGGGGGGGTATCCATTTCTGGCAGAGCAGATGGTAGCCGGAGCTTTAGTTGACTTGCAAATGTCCTGCTGTTCCAATGTAGCAGTCACATGGACGCTGCCGGAGCATCTGGGCTTGTCTGTGCAACACATCAGTGTGCCAACAGCGAGGAAGAGGCTCGTCGAACCGAACCTCAGGATTTCATGCAGCAAACCTTCGCTGCCTTTTTACTCATCAAAATAAAACACTGAGTGTCTTATTGGTCCTGTTTGAGTGTCCTGTAACATAAAGTGCTCTTAACACATGTCCCACAAAACAGATACAGCAGCTCACATGGCCAAGTTGGATAAAATGCTTTGAATTATTTAGTCCTTTAGGCTGCGTTAACATTAATGGAAACAAAATGCAATATTTTAAAATGTGTTAAACTGCTCGTTTTGTTGTGCTAATTGGCTACAAATAACATTAAAGGTGTCTTCCTCTCTTGAACAATCTGTTTCAGATTAGATTAATTGTGTTTCTCTGCGAAGCGGCATCTGTGTATGACAAAGCTTATGTATAATGTTCATTAACTCATTTATTTTTATAACTTTCTAGTTGTTAATGTGATTTTACAGAACTTTAATTTGTTGAAAGTGTGTCAGGGAGACTATCTGCTTGTGCACTCTGTAAAAAAAAAAAGTCTTCTTGCTTTCATCATGAGCTCTTCTTACTCCAGCTTGTAAAAGTGGGATACGACAAAACAAAAATATGACGAGACTAGAGTAAGATGCAGACTGTGGGAGCTGTGCTCCTCCATGATGCTGTTAAACAATGACAGTGCGTTAAAATCATATAGTTTTCTAAATCAAATGAATAATTTAAAGTTTAAATGGCAAAAATTGTTTTCTATTATCAAGCCAAACATGAACAAATCTATTAAATGCTTTAAATGTAAGGGTGAACTACCTTTTTCATATGTGACATTCAAACAACGGGTTTCTTCTTGGACAGACGAAACAAGACAATAGAGAAGATAATTTCTGATTTCAGGATGTGGAGACAGGCATCTAGCAGGGGTGTCCAGTCCTGGTCCTTGAGGGTCACTATCTGCATGTTTACTTGTTTCCCACCTAATCCAGTGGTTGTGTTACTGCTTCATGTTCTGCTGAAGCCTGTTAACCACACATGAATTCAAATCAGCTGTGTTGGAGCAGAGAAACCTCCAAAACACGAGGAATGGTGGCCCTCGAGGGCCAGGAGTGGACCCCCGGTCTATGTGTTGTCTGAGATTAGGGCTGTATTTATTAAGAAATATATTAGCTGCTGTGTTAGGTGGATCACAGACTATACACTCTTAAAGGGATTGTTTGGCTATAATGGGGTTCTGTATAAAAGATGTGAACAAATAATATTTGAACTTTTGTAGAGGGTTCAACCTCACTTTAGATACATGGAAATGAATGCTGACAGGACTGATGAACTAGCAGATAGTTTGATGTAACTAAACCCAAACAGAGCCATTACTACACTGTCAGTTTTGCATTTATGGTTATATATTTGCATGAAGGTCTATTAGTACTTGCAAGTACAAACATAGTAGCTAGTTGTTGTATTTCCAGCTTACTTGGGTCCAGGTCCAGTGCAGGAATTTTTGATTATTTCTGACAGTGTAATAATGTCAGGCAAACTTGGTGGTGGTGTAAATGCTCATATAATGGAATTTTCATTCATCTTCTTAAGCTTTTGATGGTTTAAGTCAGTTTTAAGATGGTCAAATCCACTTTGGACCAACATATTGACAAGATCATAGTGACTAGTTCAAGGTGGCCTTCTTCAAAAGCAAAGTCCAATATTCAAAATCTCATAGTGGCACGTGTAAACACATTACTGAGTTATATACACAAACTTTAAAAGTTATTCTATCAGAACTACAGTAGTCCCTCGTTTATCCCGGGGGATCCGTACCCTGAAGCCCCCCACTTCTACGCTCTGCACGGAGAACAGCTGATCAGCTGCAGCAGGAAGCTCATCCTGCAGCATGGGCTGCACAAATGTGCAGCAGGTGCTAAATCATTTAAAATAATTTATTTTAAATAAAAATCCCATGCCGATCATGCAGCTCATCCATCAATCAGCCAAATGTGTGTCATTTCCAATCTTGTTTTGAAAAATCACGATAGAGCAAGTCCACGATAAACGAACCCTGAAGTAGCGAGGGACTACTGTATTGTGAGTCTAGCTTCAAACAGAGGCCAGTGAAAGAGCTATATCCCAGTAAAATGCTCTTTGTTCTTAACTTTTCTACAGAACTCCATGTGAAAATAACTCAAGGATGCCTTTAAGATTAAAACTCAGTGTTCAGTAAAAGCTTCCAAACCCTGTGGTTTATATCTAAAATGAAGTGGGTAAAGATGACAGGTCTTTCCTTCAGTTCTGCTCCCGTGACTCACCTTAATCCATGCTGGTGAAAACCAATTGGCGAACCCTACTCAGATGAGTTTTCATCGATCCCTCTTGCTTAGTCCACAGCAGCAGACAACAAGTATGAGTCGTGGTAGTTGCTAGCATTCACCAACTTTGATGATATTTACCTCTAATTAAGTTTCTTCCCCAGAGAGAAGGAGCTGGGAAGGAGTGAAAGGAGATTAAAAAAAAACGTCTGCAAGCAGAGCGCTACGCAGCAATCAATCCTCTCCCCCTGCTCTCTCTGCAGCTGAGCCAGCGAGGATGAATGGAAGATAGGTCTGGGCGAACTGGAGAGAAGTAATAAAAGAGCCGTAGCTCAACCTTTACCTGAGGAGACAGAGGAGCGATGCCTCCATCTTTCGTGGTTGTTGTCCTCAAGTGTTTTACAGTGAGGCAATAGTAACGATTTATTTCTAGTTTTATAGAGGCCTCCTCTGCAGTAAAGATGGATTTAAGGGCAGAAAGTAAATCCCTGTCTCCAAAAGAAACTGGGATTTTATGTGTCAATTATTGGCTGGTGACTGTCCTGTACCGTTTGTATTGAGAGCGCTGTATTTCATTAAAGATCACGGCTTAGGTTATCCTGAATGTTTAAATCACACGTTGGTTCTCAGGCTCCTGTGTGTCATCCTATTAGCTGTGCACAGTTTCAGTACAACACTGCTGCGTGAGGGAGAACAAAATCAAAAGTTTCTTTTTCTTCTCCCCTAGGTGTGTAAAGTGTTGAACACCACCAGCATGAGCTGCCTCGCCCCCTCCCTGCTGGCAGAGTATCATCCAGGTCTGGACACAGTGAAGCACGCAGACGAGTTTGGGTTCATCTTCAACAACGTCCAGGCACTGCTGGTCTACAACAACACCAACCTCCTCTACTACCCCAACCCTTACTTTGAACCGCTCAGCACCACCGGGGTCCTGGAGCAAAAGCCAGGCACGCCAATCATTCTCAAGGTACAGAACAGGAAATGGTCAAGATCACCAATCAAGGTCAAAGTTGGACAAGTTGTTTGCTTGTCTCAATTATTATTTCTGATCTGCTCAAGATAATACGACACTTGATATGCAGTATGTATACATCATCAGTAGACGGAGTTTTAGCTCCAAGGTCAAGGTCACCAATCAAGATCAAAGGATTCACACGATCTTTGCTTGTCCAGACTATTGCCAAAAAATGCTGTATCGCCTTAAAATAATTTGTTGATTATGTTTTCATTATGTTGATCATCATGTGCCGTATGCGATACTCTTTCTGTCTTCCTTTTTAGTGTGAGAAAGAAAGGTAGCGTAAACAAACAATGAAGAAAGCTAGCGTAAACAAACAAACAATGAAGAAAGGTAGTGTAAACAAACAATAATCAGACGAAGTCAGCTTTCACTGGGTCGGTTCATCCTTGTCAGGATTCTCAGCCTTGTTGAGTGGAAATCACATGTAAGAAACTAGAAGACAGGTGGCACGGTGGAGCAGTGGTTTGAGCTGTTGACTCTCAAGAATTGTCTCATGGCCTGGGGCCTTTCTGGGTGGGGTTTGCTTGTTCTTCCCGTGCACATATGGGTTTCCTCCCACAGACCAAAAGCATGCACGTTAGGTTAACTGGTAACTCTGGTAATGAATCCTGGTGTTATTTAAGGCTTTCCTTAAAGTTGAAACATTTTATACCGTCCTTCAGCTGCTCTCTGCCTCACGGGTGGGAGCAGAGAACGTGTAAATGTTTTGTGACGACCAAGATATAAGTTGCATTCTTATGATTAACAATCATCTTGATGACCAAGGTGCTTGTGTTTCTATAGTTCCTTTTGCTCACTGAGACAAATGTTTATTTTTATTGTAGTAAAGAGAACATTAATCCAGACATGGCCGTTGCATTCTGATGCATCTGCCATTATTTATTTTCCCTGGAACATGCATTACATTGTGGTCATAATAGCTTAAGAATTTCTTCTACACATCAGCTGTTTCTAATCACCACGGTGTGGACTGCCTCACCATGCCTGATCTCAGACTAGTGGATCTAATTCAGGTGGCAGATTGGCTTTGTGAACCCACAGAAATGTCAGCTTTTTTATTACTGCACTGTGTGTTTGTGTGTTGGAGTTTATCTCCTAATTTCACACGTCTCTGTCCATCACTAAACGCCTGCAGGGCAGAAACCTGATTCCCCCGGCGCCGGGAGGAGTGAAGCTGAACTACACGGTGCTGATGGGAGAAACGCCCTGCTCCGTCACTGTGTCTGAGAGCCAGCTGCTGTGTGAGCCCCCAAACCTCACCGGACAATACAAAGTTGTGGTCAGTACTGCTCTGCCACAAAAGGCGGGGAATAAATGTTTTTGCATGTCTGTGTGTGTTCAAAAAATTATCTTGAGAACTACAAAAATATATACATTTGTTAAAATTTCCTAACATAATTATTGAACGTATTAATGAAATCAACCTGACTTACAATGACCACCACACCTTATTAATTTTAGCAAATACAAAAGTGTTTATAACTCAGTTTTACAGATATACTGCTAAAATTTAGTGTAATAGCTGAGACTACAGTGGCCCTAGGGTGTCAATGAACAACAATTTGAAAAAACAGAATTACATTTGAAAAAAATGGAATTGCATTAAGCCAAAGCGGAAGTGGCCGGAATCACATAAAAAAAATAAATAAAAAAAATGGAATTACATTTGAAAAAACGGAAATTATATCATTTTTGAATGTTTCAGTTTTTCAAATGCGATTCCGTTTTTTCAAATGCGATTCCGTTTTTTGGGGTGTGTTTTTTTCCAAACGTGATTCCGGCCACTTCTGCTTTGGCTTAATGTAATTCTGTTTTTTCAAATGTAATTCTGTTTTTTCAAATGTAATTCTGTTTTTTCAAATGTTGTTCATTTACACCTCAGGGCCACTCTCAACACACTGAACTTTGAGCACGACACATGTCATCTTTGCGTTCAACTTTGCCATCAACTTTGTTGGAGTCAACCTTGTTTGCCCGTTTACAAATTATATCGATAATCATTGGACATATTATAATATCATAAAAAAATTGAACAGGCATCTTAAACTGACAAAGTTTTGGAATAAACCTAAACACAACATTTATAACTTGGTCAGTTTTATAAATATTCAGCTTGTTAATGTAGCTGAGAGGCAACACATGCTCTGAGAACTAAGAATAAAAGACCCTGCAATAGTGCATGAACTTGTGCACAACATTATTTGACAAAAACAATAACAATGTTAAACAATCTTAGTTTAAAACTCTGGCATAACTGACTGAGAATTGTGTTTTCCCTAAAGGAATGCTAAGTCTGAGTTTAGTTTCACTGTTTCGAACTTTTCTGCCTCTCATACAGCACATCTGGACAGTATTCACAGTGCTTCTTTTTTTCTGTTACAGCCTTATATGTAATTGTTTTAATTAAATCTCCTCACAATTCTACACACTATGTCAATGTGAAAAAAATATTATTCGAGACCTATGCAAATGTATTAAAAATAAAAATCTAAAAAAATCACATTTACATAAATATCCACAGCTTTTGCCATGAAGCTCAAAACTGAGTTACGATACTGTTTCCACTGATCGTCCTTGAGATGTTTCTGCAACTTAAATGGAGTCCACCTGTGGTACAGCCAGTTGATTGGATTTGATTTGGAAAGGCTCACACCTGTTTATAGAAGGTCCCATAGTGGACAGTGCATGTCAGAGCACAAACACCAAGCGTGAAGCTAAAGGAATTGTTTGTAAACCGCTGAGACAGGATTGTGTTGAGACACAAATCTGGGGAAGGATACAGAAAATGTTCTGCTGGTTTGAAGGTCCCATTGAGCTCAGTGGCCTCCATCATTCATAAATGGAAGAAGTTTGGAACCACCAGGACTCTTCCTACAGCTGGCTGGTAGTCTAAACTGAGCGATCAGAGAATTCAGTTCAGTTCCGTTTATTTATAAAGCGCCAATTCACAACAGTCATCTCAGGGCACTTAACAGAAACATTCACATACATAAAAATCAGTTAATAACGTTATTATCTAAGGAGCCAGCAGATTGTTTCGCATTATCATTTTGTTGCAGTCTCCCATCCTGAGCAATCACAACGCAACAGTGGAAAGGAAAAACTTCCTCACAACAGGAAGAAACTTCCAGCAGAACCAGGCTCAGAACAAGCAGCCGTCCACTTTGGCTGACTGGGCTCAAGAGGACAGGAAGGAGAAATGAACACACAATGGCAGGTCCAGGATGGCAGCCATCAGGGTTTTCACTAGGAGGAAAGACAAAAAGACAGAAATCACATGTTAAGGAAGAATAGTTACAAATACAAACTATTCATTTGTATGTCCTGATGCATGCTCAATAATCCAGGTAGAAACATCCAAAAAAGTTAAGTCTGGTCCTCTGGGCGGGTTTAAAAAACAAAAAAATTGTAGAAACATTTCGGCTTTCATCCGAAAGACGTTTGTACAATTTTTTAAACCCGTCCAGAGGACCAGATTTAACTTTTTTGGATTCATTTGTATGCATGTTTAACTATTCATTTGAAGAAATTGGGTCAATTTGTCCTCCAGTAGTCTAAAGTTATAGCAGCCTAGGATAAAGAATAGGTCAGGAAACCAAGCCAACTAACTATAGGATTTATCAAAAGGAAAGTTTTAAGTCCAGTCTTAAAACTGGACAATGTGTCAGCCTCATGGACAGAAACTGGAAGTTGGTTCCACAAGAGAGGAGCCTGATAACTGAAAGATCTTCCTCCCATTCTGCTTTTGGAAACTCTAGGAAACACAAGTAAACCTGCAGTCTGAGAGCAAAATGCTCTGTTAGGAAAATATGGAACAAAAAGATCTGTAATATACAAACTGGATTCCAAAAAAGTTGGGACACTAAACAAATTGTGAATAAAAACTGAATGCAATGATGTGGAGGTGCCAACATCTAAAATTTTATTCAGAATAGAACACAAATCACAGATCAAAAGTTTAAACTGAGAGAATGTATCATTTTAAGGGAAAAATCTGTTGTTTCCAAATTTCATGGTGTCAACAAATCCCAAAAAAGTTGGGACAAGTCCATTTTTACCACTGTGTGGCATCCCCCTTCTTCTTACAACACTCAACAGACGTCTGGGGACAGAGGAGACCAGTTTCTCAAGTTTAGAAATAGGAATGCTCTCCCACTCATGTCTAATACAGGCCTCTAACTGTTCAATCGTCTTGGGCCTTCTTTGTCGCACCTTCCTCTTTATGATGCACCAAATGTTCTCTATAGGTGAAAGATCTGGACTGCAGGCTGGCCATTTCAGTACCCAGATCCTTCTCCTACGTAGCCATGATGTTGTGATTGCTGCAGAATGTGGTCTGGCATTATCATATTGAAAAATGCAGGGTCTTCCCTGAAAGAGATGACGTCTAGATGGGAGCAAATGTTGTTCTAGAACCTGAACATAGTTCTCTGCATTAATGGTGCCTTTCCAGACATGCAAGCTGCCCATGACACAAGCGCTCATGCAACCCCATACCATCAGTGATGCAGGCTTCTGAACGGAGCATTGATAACAACTTGGGCTATCCTTGTCCTCTCTGGTCCGGATGACATGGCGTCCCAGTGTTCCATAAAGAACTTCAAATCGGGACTCATCTGACCACAGAACAGTCTTTCATTTTGCCACACTCCATTTTAAATGACCCCTGGCCCAGTGCAAACATCTGAGCTTGTGGAGCTTGCTTAGAAATGGCTTCCTCTGGAGCTGGTCCCCTGGGGGGGCATTGCCACCTCAGTTCACCTCCCCATCCCAACGTCCTCCTCCGCCCACTCCACCACACCACCACTCAAACAGGGTTTTGGGGTTCAGATGCACTACTGAGCTACGGGGAGAATCATCCATCTCCGTGGCTGGTGGGGTCCTGGGCCCTAATTTTAATATACAACCTAGACACTCACTTATAACACTCTCACGACACATGCATATATAGGATCTGGAGTGGGCACATGATCGCACTTAGGTGGTGGGATGTACTACCATTTCCACCTCCCCGGACCTGTGCCCACTCTCATATGTAGCATGTAGACATTTAGGGTTCTGTGCGGAGATGAGGGGTGAACGGGCGCCGCCTGCTCTCTGGGCAAGAGGTGGGTCTGTGCCGGTCGCCACCTCATCCCCCCATTTTAAACGCACTGTATAACAACATGCATCAACACCATATTCGAGTGGGAGGAGGAGGAAGTGGGTCTGTTCATAATTTATTTATGCATATATAGATTTATTTATTTATTTTATTTTATTTTATTTATTTATTTATTTTTCCCCTTTCACAAACACCTCCTTTCTCCGTGTGACACTAGGGGTCGGGGATGGAGGGGGGGGGCCGCATTGTTGGGGTCTGGGCTGCGGGTGGGCTTTGGGCCTTGGGGGCGGTCAGTGTTGGGGCCGGTGCTTCGGTTCCTCCTGGGCTGTTCCGATTCTTTTAATCTAGGTTCCTGGTTGCGATGGACGGCACTCTGACCGGGGTGGCTGCCGGCTTTTGGCGGGGGGTCGGCTATGGTAGTGTACGTGTGGTCATTGGTGGTGTAGGGCGGCGGTTGGGGGCGTGGCTTTGTCTCATCCGGGCACTGGCTGGTCTTCCTGTGTGGCATTTGCGGTGGGGGTGCTCTGTGTGTGGGGGGGTGCATGGGTGGCGTGCTGGGGCGTCTCCGGGCCTATGGTGCGGAGCTCTTGATGTGAGAGCCGGCCCTCCTCGGCTGCGGCTCCCTGCTGCTCTGCCCCTTGGGCTGGGGCCGGCCTGTGGTCGCTGTCAGGTAGATGGTGCATGCGGTCGGCCCGACAGAGATTCTGTCGGGCTATCTGTGTGTGCCTGTTGGTTGCTCGGGTTGGGTTTTTGGTGGTCCCCCCTCTCTTGGATCAATTTGGGCCCCACGTTTGGTGTGGGGTCCACTCCCCCCGGTCGTGCCCCCCTTTGGCGGGGGACTCCCTTGCCGCCGGTGCATTGGTGGCTCTCGGTGTCTGGGCTGGGTGGTGGGGTGCACGTCGGTCCGCCCTGGTTGCTGCCTGGCGGGGCCTGGGTGCCCTGGCTCTGTCGGGGCTCTGCTAGGGGGTGGTATGGCCTCGGGGCTTGGGGCTCGGTGTCCATGGCCGGATCTACTTGGGGGGGGCATGGGTCGCTGGCCGGGCCTGTGGGCTCGTCGTTGCAGCTTCCTGGAGGCTCTGCATTGTGGTGGCTGGGGTCACCCGGTTCTTTCCTCTGCTCCTCTCTGGGGGGGTGCGGTTCTCCCTGTTGGGAGACTCTTGGGGCTCCGGGCCTGTGGGCCGCTGTGTGTCTGTGGCTCCGGTCCTCCCTATGTTGCCATTGTGTCCTGGGGGGGCGGGTCTGTGGGCCCCCGCGTCCACTATTGGGCATTCTTTTGGAGAAATCTGGTGGTGGTGGGCGTGCTTGCGCGGGTGTTTGGATTCAGGTGCTTTGACAGATGCACGCTAGGTTGGGTAGTGGCGGAAGCTAGATGATTCATTGTGCGATGTCGAATGTTTCATGGTGATATTGTGGGTGACATTGTGCTGTGCATGTTGTTTTGTCATGGTGGTCTCTCGTCTTATCTTCTTCTTTTTTATTATTTATTTATTCTTCTTTCTTCTCTTTCTTTAAAAAAAAATAATAATAAAAAAAATTAAAAAAAATTGAGCGATGATGATAAGTTCATTGAAACACTTCACAATGTTTCTACACTTAAACTGAGCTCACAACAAAAAAAAAAAAAAAAAAAAAAAAAAAAAA